GAAAGTTGAAGTTCTGAAAAGACTGAGGTGAAAGTTAGAGTCCAATGCAGGAGTTAAAAAGTAGCAAGGATTTGAACTAAAGAAGGATGAAAACTACAATTGAATAGAAAGAAAATTCATGAGTTTTCAGATGTTGGCATGCAGGGTTGTTGGTGAGGGAGAAAATACAAAGTAGTGTAACTGAAATTCAAACTGATTAGGCTGTAAAAATGGTGAGTCCTGAGACCGAAACAGGAAATTCTGGAGAACAGTTGGGTAAATCAGGGTACGGGTGGAGAGATGGAGAAAATTAAGCTATGAATGATTATGCTAATTCAAACACAAGAGTATTTCTGGATTTAATGGAAGTGCTCACTTCTGAAAAACTGAGAAGGAAATGTTCTTAAGTGGGCATTGTAATGGATGGTACAAAAAAATAAGGGAGTAATGCTTTTAGAGGCATGTCTGATTCAAAGGAAAACTCTTTCAACCATTTACTGCATGATATTTTCCCATGGAGATAATTTTTAAAAGCTTTGGCTGACTTAGAAAAGAAACACTGAGCCCTTTTTGTTATTACTTTAACTTGTCCAATCTCTAAACCACAGAGATACCTCAGAGGTTCATTAGAAATTCCCAAACCCAGAAAGAGGAAAGTCCCAATAAAAACAAATGAACCAAACCAGATCCTTTAGGAGTTGAATTTTGAAGTTTTGACTTCCTGATTATAAAGATGGGTCATATTTTAGTTACAGAATAATGGTAAATGTAGCTTAAAAACACAATAGTTAAAATAATGAATTCCTTCCGTGTCTGTCAGTAGATTTGGCATGTACAAGTATCTTAGTGTAGTTCAAATAACAAATTGTCAACTAAATAAGCCTCATCTCAAACCCAATCCTTTAGTATGGAAAACTTTTATAGTCTAACATTTTTACTTGTTCATTGTAATTTGATTTTCTATTATTTCATTACATCCAGTCAATGGCTCAGGTTACCCTGACAATGAGAAAATTCTTTCTCTTCCTTTATGAATAAATGACTGAGGTTCAATTATTAACTATTAAGGGTTATACTATGTTTCCCTGTCTTCAGGACTAGTCACTGCACATTTCTGGTTCAAGAGGCTGCCAATGCAATGGCCTAGAACTAGGGAAGAAAATACCCAGTGAATAATTCGACCCTGTTCCCCAGAAAGTTGTGTCTTCCTAGTAAGAACAGAAATTGAAAAGCATTTTGATACTATCATTCACAAAACATGTATTATTAGAAAACATAGGGTGATATACCTGTCTTGTCTTGTCTTGCGACCAAGAAAAAATTTTAAGGAAGAATGAATTGAAAGAGTCTAGGGCAAGTCCACTGTGATACCACAAGTTCAAGAATTTTTTTTGGTGGGGAGAAAGCAAGTGTAAGTTTAGGAAAACTTCATGAAGAATGATTAACTATGTGATTCATGAGCCTCCCATTCCCTCCCAAACTTATTAATTTTTCTCTTGTATTTGTATTCTCTTAAGAAATTTCAGTTAAAATATAATAAATCTCACTGTACCAAGTATATTGTGTTCCCTTGTTTATTTTCCAAAGGGCACACATACCACTTGTATCCAGAATAGCAAAAGCTAAGGATTAAAGATTTGCTACCTCTCAAATACCAATACAACAGAAATGTATTTTACATACCAAGATGTTATTTTAAAGGGCCATTAACTTACTAAAAATTATTACCTTCCTACTGTTTTGATTTTTCTTGTTACTAGTTTCTTATTTTTTCCTGCTAAATTGTCATTTACTAACTTGCATAAATGCCTAGACTCAGCTTCATAGCAACCTACATTGTCATTAACTTCTTCCTTAAGTAAGAGAATCATTTTAGTAATATATCATTTAAAGTATATAAAGGCAGCACCAGATTAACAGTCTCAATCCTGAGCTGTTAGAGTGTTCACCAGTAATTGCTGTTCTCACTTATATAGCACCATTTCACTTATATAGCCAGGGAAAATCTGCGCCACCATCCCTGTTTAATTTTTCACTCTGGTTCCAAGCATTTGTCTAGCCTCAGGATAGATTGGTTTTTTTATTATATTTCATTTCATTTTTTTGTCATTATTACCCACCATTCTTTCAAATCACAAATTTTGAAAGCAGAGAAATGAGGGTAAAATAAGTTAAATCTATTTTTATGATATACATTGCAATACTATGTTCTTTGATAGAGAAAAAAAATTAAAGGTTGATTTTGAACAAATCACTCTTTGATACCTGAAAACTAAAAGAAGTGTAATCCATATACCTGTTTCTCATTAACATTACAAATTGAATTATAGGACATGAGGAGGTATGGAAAAATTATACTTCAAGATATGAATTAAAAAGTGTTCTAGAAAACCCCTTAGAAAGCAGTAATACAGTGAAGTGCCCATAAAATTTGTCTCTTTCTGGTATCTTTTACTGTGTCTTAAAATCATTTATTAGGAGAGAGGAAAACAATTTATGTTAATTATTTATTAATATTAAAATATTGATGAGCATTACTTAAATGTAACAGGATTCCAGCTGGTGCACTAGACTGAAACTGTTGAAATGCAGCCAACACAAGAGGCGTGTATTAAAAGAGCAGAACAAATGACTTAACAGCGGCCTTAAAAGCAGCAATCAGAAAAGGTTCATTTAACTTAGAGATGGCACAAGCTTTGAGCAATTGCCTGTACTTAAGTAAGTGTGGAATTACAAAAGACTATTTATTACAGTCCAACAGGGCCCTGCAGCTTGCTCAAAGACCCTTGAAGACTTTAACAAAGTCTTGCTTAGTGCAGAAGCAGTAGAATTGGGCAGATCCACAAAACAGCCTGCAGAGCTTTCATTAAGAAGTTAATATAATCCTCGTCACAATTGTTCTTTAAAATGAATTATTTTCTCTCTTCTTTTTAAGGAGAGATGCTGTAACCAGTAATTTTCAAAACTTCTTTGAAAATGTATTTTAACTGTTAGAAAAAATAAACCAGTTTCATGGTGATATGGAGCAAACACGGGCTCTTCATGGGTTTACTAGGGAAGCATTTCAACATTAAGCATCTTTGAAATGCTCTATGAGCACCCAGTAAAAGTTACTCTATTAGTGAATTTACTTCAGTGAAATTAGTAGAATTTCTCTATTTTTTTGTACAAAAAGCAAAATTTGGTTCCCAGGACATTGGGCTGCAATTTTTCTATTAATGGTTAGATAGTGAATTGATTTTTCTAAGTATTCAAGTAAGTTAAAAAAAAAATAATTCTCAAAAGTGTAGCATGCCTGTTATTTATTTATAGCTTAGCAATATGTTTATAAACATTGAATATGTTTATAAAACTTCAGCTAAATAGAACCAAAATAAATTACCCTTATCTCAGAATCAATTTAGAGCAGCAAACCCACAGAGGGTGGGGGGTAGGGATATTGTGAGGTCGATTAGGGAAATAAAACAATACGGAATAGATGAAAAGTAAACATGAAAGGTATATAATGTTAAGTTACATGAAGGATATTAATTGCTAGTGTCAGCAAAAGGTGAATAAGAAAATGAGTTTTCTTGTCCATCTGAAAAGTAACACCTACATTTTTCCGTGGCCAAAGATTATGTAATTAATCCCAGGTCATTAAAGTAATGATGCTTTAATTACAAAAGAGTTTGTAAGAAGATTTTACAAATAATAGATACAAGAGTACAGAAAATTTATTTCAATGGATTCTTCATTTAGCTTTATAGTTTCCAATGAAGTGCCACCAGGCTAATTTAAAGAAAGCTCTATTTTAAACAGGAAATAGAAATGAAAGGCATTTATTGATGGACAATTTAAATGAAAGGTTGGATGTCAAAGTCAGCTTGTGATTATCACAGAAACTTCAAATCATCCAATACAAACTTCAAATATTACTATCTGTTGTGGGGAATACAAATACACAGAGTTCTAATAGTCCTTGATTTGAAAAAAATCTGTAAGAAAACTGATCCTTTAACAATAAATCAACAGTTAATGTACCTAAGAATCTTGATTTTTATTTGTTTCATGCTTGTAATGTATTTTGCTGCATTCCATTAGGGCAGAATGCCGCTGAACCCCAGAGTAGATTTAACACCAGAAGTACACTGATAAAGAGTATTCACTTTTCTTTTAATGCAAGGATTTGAAGTAGGATATCACTTAAATATATATTTAATCTTCCATTAGAAATGAAAGTGACCCCATGGTATCAGATCCAAACAGATGGTTTTTATTCAGATTCTATTCTTCTGATAAAGCATGGAAAAACATAACACATATAAAGTCACCACCCAATAAGATATCTCAAAATATATCTAGAGAGTTGTGGCCAAGGAGTAGTCATTTCCTCAGCACTTTCTGTTAAGTATTTTTTTAAGAAATAAAAAAGCAAAAGCAGAAGATTGTTGTTTCTTGATATATATTTTTATTCATGAGAGATTTTTGTCAGAAGTCAAGACCTACTTAAATATGTCCTAAATCCTATCTATTTTACAGTGCACTAAATATTGTTATTACCTATAAATACCATGGGACTCCTGTGCATAATGAATTCCAGTCCTCTTACAGAGTTGCATATGAAAATGTTATCAATGAGCTGGAGAATCTGGCATTAATAACTTTGTAACATTATAACAAATAGGTAGTCCTGATGTTCTGTTCTTTTTTTAATATATCAAATGTATTCCATTGCTTACATTATAGTAGCAGATTGAAAACATCTGCTCACTTGCCACTAGTCTACCCAGCAGCTGAATATCTCAGCTCATTTTCCATAGGCCTGCATGTACAAGGACTATAATCCAGCTGCTGAGGCTTGATGTGGGGCCAGATTAATGCTCAGGAGCCTTTGAAATGGACTAGTGCTTTCTTGACAAAGATTAGAACAATGAGAGACTTCATTTGTTTGTTCCCTTCTTCTCTGCTCCTCTTCACCACCCTTTCTAACCCAATTAATTTGCCTCCTTCAACCATCCCCTACCATCGTCTTTTTACAGCCCCATCACCTGTCATAATGATTAAGAAGGATCGGACATCCAGAAACAGCATCTCTTTGTCCTGGCAAGAACCTGAACACCCTAACGGGATCATACTGGACTACGAAGTCAAATACTATGAAAAGGTGGGGAGATTATGTGAATGGATTGTGTTGTGTGGGGGAAAAGGTTTCCTTCTCATGATCTGTGTTCTTGCAAAGACACCAGTGACATTGCTAGGAAGTGGTAGAACTGTTTAAAACTGGTCGTGTTCTACCTTTGACTGATAGGTAGAGGGGGATTCAGAAATCACTGTGTCAAATATCCCCCTTCTACAGCAGTAAACCACAGCAAAGATGTCACCACCAGATTTAAGCCAGCTGGGGCATTAGAAATGATAGTTATGTTCTTCCATATTGAGGCTCCTGTTTTACCAACTATTTTATGGTAATTACTTAATCTATTGATGAACTAGTCCTTAGTTCATTGCCTTAAGCATCATTCCTGACCTTCACATTCGCAGATAAGGACATTGAAATAATACAATAACAAAAATCACTGTAGTACTGAACTGATGGTGAAAAGCTTCTTGGACTTTGTACAGATTCAGAAGGTGAGAGTGGGTGGATAAGTTTGCCTCATATCATACAATTGTGGTTCAGTAATACAATTATAAAAAATAGGTACATGATTACAAATAGAACTTAGGCTGTGATATTTCATCACTCTGATTAGCATTTATTTCTCCCTGGTTATAAGTTTATGGTGAGGTTTGAAAGCAAGATGTCCTCAAACCCTATCATCAGACAGGGTGGTTTTATAGCTACTGACATGAATATAGCGTATTTGTGTCTCTGCTGAAGTTTGCTAAGTATTTTTAAAGGGAATTAAAAACTTTTTGTGCATTTTACAGCAGTTTATATTTATAGAACACTTTTGCATATATTATTCAATTATGAGATTTCTGATAATTCTATTTAAGTGGACAAATAGGCTCTTTCACAAATAAGAAACTTGAGAGTCAGTGGCATTATTTGAATTTCTCACACCTCACAGCTAATAACCATAAGGTCTGTTTTGAATCCTGGCAACCACGCCTTCTCATTTAATATGTTTTCCCCTGTATGACTTACCTCCCTCTACATGAGAATGGGTTATTAGAAAAATGAGAATTAGAGGTATGATCAATTGTACAAAAAGGTATAATGTATAAACATTCTTTTGCATTATGTAGTTATTCTCTCTAATGAAGTTAATGTATTTCACAAGTTTGATGCCCTTTTTTTTCATACTGCCCCCTGAAGGGAAAAGGAATGTCTCTTTCATTAAAAGAAAGTGAGTCCTAATAAACTTTATTGTGCCCAAATCATAGTATAAATGTTATCTCCTAGCTTTCAGTGATTCACTGTGTTAGTGTCAAATACTCACCTATCATGATTTTTATTTTTAAAAGTGGGCAGACAGACTGGGCAAATATAGGAATCTGTGTTTTATAGATGATGCAACAAAATAAAAAGAAACTAATGATATGCCTCATTTCAGACTGAATATCAGAACCAGGGAGAACCCATCCCTTAATCTATGGGGCTGATTCAAAAATACAATTAATATCTGTTTACGTCTTTCACAAACATAAAATTTTTCTGAACTTATTTTAAACACTGCCAACAAAGCACAGTGAACACCTTATTTTAAAACAATATTAACCAGTACAAGAAAAAATGTCTGAATCTATTCATTATTCCCTCAGCAACTTTAAATTTGATACATACATACATGTAATCTTATTTTTAATTAGTATTTATATACATATTTATGTCATAAATACATCTAAACTTATTCATACACACATATGTGTATATATATGATGCTTGGAAATATTTGGAATGTTTCATCAGAACTTAACATGTACAAGGTCTAACTTTTCAGACTATTTAGTTCACTAATGATGATACACAGAGCCAAGTTCTGGATATATGCTCAATATATTTTTTTAAACAAATGAAATAACTATTTCTGTAAAACAAATAGACTTGACCCTCTTCATCATTTAATATACTAGTTCAGAGGCCATCTAATACATAACCAGCACCCTTAACTAAAAAGTATCTGTACTGTACATTTTTTCTGTAATGTTCTGTGCAATTTTGAGTGATGGTATATATACAAAGTTCTGTTACACACAAAGGCCTCAGCCCAGGTGCAGGGACATTTCATCATTGCTTGAAATCAGGTTACCCATAAAATTCTCAGTATATGTTAATGTGCAGTAGATGAAAAACACAATTTCATGTAAATACAGTTTTTGTAAACAAGGCTTGACACAAAAAGATTTTACAATTAATGTGTAGTGTGAGTCCTATGTGAATTTCTAGAGGAGATCCTTTTTGGGAAATATTTTTAGACATTGATCTGAAGATTTCTGCCTCTGCTAAAACACAGTGACTTAAACACAGTGCAAATATAGTTGATGCTGACAAAGTTATTAATGTAGAGCTACATAACTGGACCTTTATAAATTTAATATTTTACAGTTGACAGAAATATTTTCTGAGTATCACTAAGACATTTCTAGTAAGTGTAATTCAAAAGGGTATTTTCCTCTTCAAAAGTTTATTCTTGGAATTAATTGTAGCTTCATTCAGCCTTGGCTATGAAGAGAACATATTTTCACTTACATATTCACTAATTTGTAAGAATAAAAACTGACTTTTCTTACTTTATGTGTATGAGACAATCGTTTTATCCAGTTTAGAAAATTCCATAAATATTTTTGGCTTGAAAAATGCTTTCATTGTATTCAGAAGGTGAAATGACTGTTCTTTTTTATCTGTCCTATGCCCTGTGTTAAAATCCAAGAGAAAATGGCTTTGACTGGTTCACCTTTTTACCATTTGATAGCATTATGAAGATTCAATTTTAACATGATTTTTCTTACCTCAAAGCAGGAACAAGAGACAAGTTATACCATTCTGAGGGCAAGAGGCACGAATGTTACCATCAGTAGCCTCAAGCCTGACACTACATATGTATTCCAAATCCGAGCCCGAACCGCAGCTGGATATGGGACCAACAGTCGCAAGTTTGAATTCAACACTAGTCCAGACTGTATGTATTATTTCAATCGGCAAATGGGGGGTGGTGTTGTAAAGGTGTCTCACAATTACTTATGACTCTCTCTGAGCTGTAACTAAGTGTGGTACACTTGAAAGTGAATCGCTTGGATGTTAATCTGCATAGCACTGGGTCTGTGCGCTGGTATCTGTGATGTGTGCTTCTGCTTTCTTCTCTTTCACAGATCAAACATGTATGGTTTGCCTCTGGTCTTCTTTTGGCCATACATTGTTTTGAGGCACATTATTTAATATGATAACATACTTCCAGTACTTAATCCAGACATTGGTATCTAACAACTAGTATCTAATCCAGATATTCCAGTTTCATTGCATGATTCAGTGAACTACAAGAAACTTGCTTATCCTTGGGGATATAGTATTGTTTTAATGTTTAACACGTTTAAACTAGTATCACTTAGAGATTGAAGATTTTAAAGCTGAGTTGTTATTGTTCCTTTTACACTCACAACAATTGGGATAGTCCTGTGTATCTAATGCCAAATTTGGCTGGTCCAAATTGGCATTTTTCCTAATTATGTATTTTTTTCAAACCCATTTGCTTCATATTTAAAAAGCCCTTTTACTAAAATACAATTTTCAAAATACCGCATGTCTGCGGTACTAATATAAAATGAACACAAGTTTAAGATTTTATATAACTTAATAATGAGATTAGTAAAAGATGAAAACTGGTTTAAAGGAAAATTTGAAGAACCAACAGATACACATATACATCTACAACACACACACACACACACACACACACACACAAGACAATCAGAAATTCTTAAACAAATTTGTTAATTTTCCCAAAACTGGTCAATTTCCTGTATGACAAAAAAAGATAATGATTGGAGTCATCTTTCCCACTGCACATAAACCAGTTATATCTCAAGTACATGCATCATTTTAATTATAGTAGGAAAAATCTTATCACTATTGGTTTTCTGAAATTCAAATTCACAGTTGTAAAACAACCTAGAAATACAATCAAAGATGAACACTATTTAGAAACAGATAATCCAGGGAGTCTGTCAATGTCCAGCATTCTGCTGAAAGTAAACTTGTGATTGTTACAATTTGCCATTTTTCCCTGGCATCTATATTTCCTACTTTCTAAATATTTTGCCTGTAATGTAAAATCAAAATATTAAAGGTGTGATATTCTATGCCCAAATTTCATATCTAACAGAAACATTCAGCATTAACAAAAACCTATAAAAACTTTAATATAATAGCATAATTATTTTATGGCACACTTTTCGCCAGCCATTTAGAAATGCTGTTTATAACAAGCTTTAACCTTCCAGAAGGTATTAAGGATCTAGTGTTCCAGGAAATCATCGGCTCACAGCTGAAACATGATTATTCTTCTACTCAAAGGAGAGCTACTATCCTTAAAAATACAAATCTATTGTTGAAGATCTCTCCTAACTCCTCCTATGAACATGAAGAAATCATTCTCTATGACATTAGAAACAAAATGCTATAAAATACCATGTAAATTCATTATCAACAAGATTTAAAACACAAAATTTTATATGACACAATAACAAAATATAATTACAATTTAACATTAGTAGTTCTAAATCTTTTTATAATTTTTAAGCAGTGCAAAGAAACTTTCTGGTTTTGAAATTGCTATAGATTGATTTTTTTCAAACTTTTAAATGGTTATGAATTAAGAGCAACAAAATTTACATTTACTTTACCAGGAAACATCACACATCATGGAAACATAAAAAGCAAATATTTATTATATTCCCTGGTAAAAATTAAGCATGTTGAAGGGCAGAGGGTCAGATCACCATTAGATAAACATTTATTATGTTGATGCATATTTTGGAACATCAGTCTAATCTTTCATATTCTTAATCAACGTTTAACCCTATCTGATAAGTAAATTTTCAGCAATAACAACAAATTCCAAAATACTAATGTAATTCCAGATTTACAATAGATAATAGTGTGGTATTGTTGTGCATGAATATCTAATGAGACTTCATTTTCTGCACTTTAAGAAATACTCCATTTAAAAACTGCAGGGTCTAAGCATTTTTGACAAAAAAGTTTTATATTGCAATACTTGCCCTGATTATAGAGAGAGCAGATGAAAAGAGGATAAAAAGAAAAAAATAAACTTTTCAACATTCCCTTCACCATTTATAGAGACTGTGAGTTGCACAGGTTGATTTTTTAAAATATCTATTTACTCTTACTGCTTCCCCATAGAATTATTCCATACTTTAACTATAGATGAGAAAAAATGTATCTTTTGTCTTAGTGGGAAAAAGACAAAAATCAACTCTCATTCTATGTTGTTAAATCAAAAAGATACATTCATAAAAATTCTAAGTATTTAATAGCCTTATTTGTTATATAGTGATATTTGAAAGATATGAAAAGATTCGTGTTTGTATTTATTTAACAGTTTGTTATTTCTTCTAGCTTCTACTTTACAAAGTTGTATGAAAAGTTCCCATTCATAACACATATAAATATTTCTTAGTAAAGCATAATGTGCTTTTACCTAGAATTTAGAGAACATTTTGTGAACATGGTTTATAGTAAAGATATAGAGGCGCTGTGGAACACATATTTTCCTGAGTGCTCTAATGTCAGTATTTACTTTTATTATCGTCCTCATTTTACAGGTAGGGAAACTGAGGCATAGAGAGGCTACATAAGTTTTTCAAAGTCACACAGTTGGTAAATGATGAGTCTGATTTAGAACTCATGTATATGTGATAGTGTATAAAACATCTTAATAAACAGTTCATTTGATCCTGTTCTGTAAGCTATTTAGGTACTGTTATTTCCTTTTGCAGATGGTCCCAGATACAGATTTTAAGTTTTTTCTGAGGTTGCATGTCTGGTAAGTGATGTCAGTGAGCCTGGAGTCTCCAGATTTTGGAGTAGTGATCCAGTGGTGCCACTGCACATTTTAAAAAAAAGAAAAGATATTATGTTAAGTCCACAGAAAGCACAGAGTGGAGGGTATAGAAGAAACATGACTTTCCTAGAGTAAAGGCAACATCCAGCCAAATCAAGAAGTGGGAACAGTATGAAATAGTGTGGCATGTTTGAGAAAACTGGTAATCCAACTGTCTGGGACCCCCACTGGGCAGAAACCACATCCAGGGTGTGTGCTTTGTGCTCAGGAACAGCAGGTGCAATAGAGACATTAAGGAAAGGACTTCAGAGCCAACTGACATTTATTAGGATTTCCTTGACAAGCCAATTCAATTCTCAAGGTCTCAATTTCCCAATCTGGAAGTTGGATAAAATCAGTGTGAATAATTCAGTAGGGGTTTTATGCTGATAAAATTATTTAGTATTTGTAGAGTACCTAAAATATTACCTGGTGTAGTAGGTGCTGTGTATGTGTGTGTGTGTGTGTGTGTGTGTGTGTGTGTATGTGTATGTGTTCTGTGTCTTGTGTTTAAATAAATAATACATGATTTGAACATCCAAGGAATTTCAAAAGCAAAATAAGGTGAAATAAAACTGGGTTTTGGAATTGGAAGATTCTATTGGGTATTACTAGTCAAGATTAGCCCCAGTGTCAATTCAGTCAGCGCTCCTGAATGCTTTATACCTCCTTTGCTGTTTTTAATGTCATTTGTTATGAGTGGGTGTGCAGTAACTTTAATCTCTTGGAACTTCTGATTGGAGAACATTAAGGCAGCCTGACAAAGGTAGAGCAGAACCCTCATATAGAAAACTTTCATGCTGAAATTAGATATTCATATATATAACTTTGCAGGCTATAGAGTACTTCTGCTAGTTTTTCACCAGTTTTTAAATTATTTTTCATAATAAAGTTATAGAACATTTATAAAGCACTTACCATGTGCTTGTCACTGTTCTGTTTTACTAGTATTAACTCATTTAAACCTTTCAACAATCATATTATGTCACATAGTGAGTAAGTACAACCCAGGCATTCTGGTTCATGAGAACTTTAGGGACAGGATATGGGGTCGACTGCAATGGGGGGTGACTAAAATTTACTAGAGAATCCAGAACCTGCTGTTAGAAGTTAGAAGTTATTACAGTATACAAAATGAAAGGCCTGAGATGATGTTATTATTATATGTTTATGGAGCATTACTGAATCACTAGGCTAATTATTTTACAAATTATGCATGGATTTATAGACAATGGATAAGGATGTATCAGTTCGGGTCTTCTGGGAAGCAGATATTTAGGTGAATTAGAGTTTATAGGAGGAAATACAAGTAAAGGATGAAAGTGGGGGAGCAGAAGTCGGTGAGCAGGCCCTCAAACTGAGACGTAGGTCCGCCATCTGTGAAGAGATGGAGGGGGAGAAGGGTCGAGGAGAGCCTCAGACAGTAGCGCAGCTCTGAGGGGCTCGCCACGCCGATGGGGAGTCCCCGAAGGAGGATTGCCCTTCAGGGAGTCCTGCATTGGGCAGCAACAGCCCTGCTCCAGTACCCTTGCCATGTTTAGCCCTTGAGGAGAGTGAGGCCTGTGCACGAAGGCTGAGATGGATCCTGAAAGGCAGGGCAGCTGGAGGCTGTCTGCCCACTGCAGGTCTGTTCTCAGGGGCACTGGAGCAGGAACTCCCATGACTGCCACAGTGGTGTAAACAACAGTTTGCTGGTGGTAAAGAATAAAGTGCTTGCAACAGTTTATATTATGTGTATGCCATCCTGCCACACTCTGTGCTCTTTTTCCAGATGCTTAGAAAAGTTCTAACAGCCTGTCTGCCATGTTTCTTTGTTGGCATCATTTAACTCTTCTTAAAACTGCACGATTTTAGAGAAAACTTTTCAAACTTTGATTTTCATCAGGCTGAAGTTGTGACGTTGGCTTTTGGAGAGGTGATAAAATTCAAATTACCAAACTCTCTCTTCTTTTGATACATCACTCACTCATTTGTCCAATCAGCATTTACTGCAAGGGTAGCATGTATTAACATATGAGCATATGATAGGGGTTGTCCCGGGAACTGTGTATATTTTAGAAAGTCTAGAGCTTAGGATGCTTACGGAGTTTATTAGCAGAAGAGACTGGGGATTTAGGCAGGAACAGATTTTAAATGGCTTTAGGTGCTCTGCTACAGAATTTGCATTTTATCCTGAAAGTGACGGAGAGCCCTGCAGAACTTGTGTGCATGAGAATGACATGACCAAATCTGTGGTTTAGAAGGAACACTCTGGTGACTGTGTGAACAGTAGGAAAGATGTATAGAGACCAAGCAGGAATTTCTGATTGTACTGCAGAAGAGAAATGCAGACATCAACTAAGATAGTTAAAAGAATTTGGTGATTAATTGGATGTAAAATGATCAGGAGAGGGAGAGGACAAGGCAACTTCGTATTTATGGTCCACATCCTTGCTACTCCTGATGCACTCTTCAGCCAGCAGGAGCACTGGAGCTCATACGAAATGCAGTCTCATTTCCACTCCAGACTGACTGAATCAGAAACTGCCTTTTCCCAAAGATCCCCATGGGGTTTGCATGAACATTTATGTTAGAGGAGCACTGGTCTAGGTCAAGAGCTAGTAAGGAGCTTGATAATCAATATTTTAGGCTTTGTATACATACAACCACTATTGCCTCTGCTCAATGGGGCTATTGAAGCATGGACACACCCAAATTATAGTACATGAATGAATGTGGCTGTGTTCCAATACAGTTTTCATTATGAACACCAAAACTGAATTTTATATGATTTTCACATGTCACAAAGCCTTTTTCCTTCCACTTCTTAAAACAAATAAAATCATTCTAAGCTCCTGAGCCATACAGAAACTGATGGCAGGCTGGATTTGGCTATGGGCCATTTTTGCCCCCTTGTCTGGGTGAGTGAATGAGTGATGGGCCATTTACAAGGTAGGGACAGTTTGTCAGTGGTATGTGTTAAGGTCCATAGGATAGGTGTTATAAAACCTTTTAAATAAATAAAGATACTGGGGGGCAAGCAAGCTTAACTAGAAAGCTTTTATAATTTTATTCTAGGAAATCTGTCCTGTTTTCTCTGTTCCTTCTGATAACTTCTGGTTCATCCAATGGACTTCTTGTCCAAGAGAATAAAGAAGACCAGCCCAGCTTATTTCACACAATAGACATTCAAGTAGTATTTGACTGATGCTATTGAAACAGAGTATTTAATCTTATTACTTAGATATTTCAAACAAAATTATACAAAACGTCTATTTTTTTTTACACTAACTGAAGAATTTTACCTTGTAGTAGACAGTAAGTCATATTTCAGGTAAAATCAGAATAAATATGCCTCAATCTATCAGCTTTTCCATGTAGATGGTAGTTACAGTCTGTTAATGCCTGGTCTTTTCGTGTTTTTCTCTCCGACCTCACAGCTTTCTCCATCTCCGGTGAAAACAGCCAGGTGGTAATGATCGCCATTTCAGCGGCAGTAGCAATTATTCTCCTCACAGTCGTCACCTACGTTTTGATTGGGAGGTGAGGCCGCGGCCCGTTTTATGGCTTACTTTCATTATTACTTTGCTTGTTCCCCTCTGTTGCTGCTGAAATCTGAAAAGGGTGGTCAATATAGTCATTTTAACAAGTAAGAATGTCTCCACGTGGATTCTAGCTCTTTTTTCCCACCCTTTCTTTTGTTTCCCCATCTTTAGTTTTGATTTTCTTTTGGCCATTAAAATTCCCACCCCACTCTCCAACACACAGCACGTCTTCTCTCTTTGACCTCACTCCTAGTTTTTGCTTTCTTTTGTCCAATTATCTCCTCACTCTTCAAATACATCCCAGATTTCCCTGACTCTTTCTCACCCAGAACACTGGTAACACTGCACAGCACTCATCGCTGACAATGGAGACTGGTCCCCTTCATTCATTCTAACAGCAGTTGTTAAAAAAATACTATAAACACTTTCTAAGGCCATTATAAAAACTGAACTGAAGGGGTCTGCACAGTGGGGAAGCAGCTCTACATATCTCCTCATTAGGCAGCTTTCCAAAGTCCCCAGAGAAAGAGGCTTTCTATAGAGGATTTAGAAAATATGAAGTCATTAAACTTTCACTAAAGCATTTAATTGTTGGAGAAAAATGCTTTACTTTTTGTGCTTTGCACATTCTAAGCCTAGGTAATTGTTTTAAGTGTATTTTCTTTCTGTGTCCTCTTCCCTTGATTTTCCTCTAGGTTCTGTGGCTATAACAAGTCAAAACATGGTGCAGATGAAAAAAGACTTCATTTTGGAAATGGACATTGTAAGTTTTGAAACTGTTTTTGGTGCTTTAGCTCTTACCATTTTAGTTTTAGCAGCTATTGACTTATAACTAGATAACTTTTCTCTAATAAATAGAATTCAAAAGTAGTTTTATGGAAAAATCAAGCAAATTAAATTGATTTTAAGCAAGGAAGGAAATTCATGGCTCTGCATTAACTAATTTTTACATGACCACATTTCAGCATCCTTATGCTACAGTGAGGGTAGCTGTGGCTTATATCCAAATAATGCATGTCACAGGGAGTATGTACTTTAGTCGTTCTGCATAGCTGAAAGGCAAAGCGTATCTTCTGTTCCCTTATTACTAGTCCTTTGCTAAATCTAAATAGGAACCTTTTCCCTTTCCTAACTGCCAAGTAAATATAAACAACTTCTGTTTATGTGAAATGCCTTACTCCATTTTGTCAACCAACCAGGAGAAAGCTTTTAGAATAAACTGTTTATTTTGGAGTTACCTGATATCCAACTGGTAGGAAAGCCAGCACTTTCCCCCCATGTTTTAATATCAACCAACTCAGCCTCTTTTTAATATTTTCTAAAAGAAATATTCTTTAGGAAACAAAGTGTTTATGTCTAATAAAAAGACTCACTTTTTTCTTCTGGTAAAACAAATCATACTGGCTTTTCTGCTTTTCCAAATTATGGTTCAGTGTATGTGGCAATTACTAATCACTGACCTTAAAAGGAAGAGTATGTTTTCATGGAAATTAGCACAGACTCTACTCATGCTTATATGCTCTTATAGCTAATGAAGTCTTTTAAGCATTATTTCTCTGGCTTTCACTATTACCTTCTATTATTTTCAATTCAGTGTGATTTTTTTGTGTCAGTCATTGGTTTTGTATCTAAAAATTATAGCATTAGTTGTAACTCAAGTAAGAAATTGATTACCTGTTGGTAACATTCAGGAGGCATGCAGTAACTTGGAAAAAAAAAGAATGTCTTCCAAAAATGTTAACTGATGTGGGATGAACCCAGGGCCAGAGATCGTCATTTGCTGTGTCCATCTCATTGCAGTCATTACAGAATAATTCACAAAACAGCCAAAGTACTACCTTCTCAATATCAACATCTCATCATTAGTGAGGCTACCAACTCCAAAGTCTTAAAAGAGTGCATGAACAAATTACAAGATACTTGTCCAACTTTTTTTTTATGGTCCCACTAAACACTGATTCATAGTCGCCAGGCATAAATTAGACCAGTTAACATTCCTGTGGAATAAGTTGCTCTTAATTTGAGTCGGACAATAGATGTAAATACTGACTTTAGAGGAAGACCATACTGATTTGGTTCTTTATATGGGAATTCTAAATCTCATGAATTTGGAGCATTCATAAATTTCTGCATGCCCACTGTAAACAGGTTCCTCTATCACTCCAATATGTTTTAGCTGTTCGTTTTTATGGTGGCATTTGTTGAAACTTAATTTTCTTCAAATGCATAATATCCTTATGATAGACAAACAGAAAAGGAAATACATTTTATCCTAGCTGCAAGGGCATAAAGTAACTTATATGCATGTCATAAACTTTCTACGTCTTAATGCTACAGCTGGTTTATTTCAGACCATTTATTTAGTATTACTTTAAAAAGCTCTAGCTATGAACTATTCCCTCCAGCCTTGTTATAAATCCTATAATATTGCTTCAAAAGGAAAGAAATGTGTTTCACCTCCTAAGATCCTGTCCTCTTGCCCTCTCTGGCTGGGCCTTTTTATTTTTTTTGCTATCCTTAGGGCAACTCATGCTGGTAAAATGGAAATGTAAATTATTGTGTTTGCACAGAACGAGCTGTAAAGTAGTGCAGCTTAACACATGTGCATGTGTTTATTATCTGGTTTTCTTGACACAGCCCAGTCACTCTGTATGTTGCCCTTAATTATTGGTGTGAAGGGATTATGTGCCTTGCATCCTGACTCACCTGATTCCTGGAACCTCTGGGGTCAGCAGTTAAAAATCACCAGCCAAAGCTCCCACAGTGAACAGGCCATTTTTCTTGTGTATGTGTGTGTATGTTTATATTTGTATTGTTTCCCCACATGTCACGTGGATAGGAAAATGATTTACTTGATTTTATTTATTTGCTATGATTATTTATTTGTATTGATTTTTATTTGGGAATGACTATTTTTCAGAGTATTTAGTAACATATACTCTCTAAGGGTAACAGGTATAAAAGCTTAACTGTAATGCACACTTTCAAGGCTGTTTAAATCCAGTTCTTATTTAAAATGCTTGGGACATTGCTTCTGACAACTCATTTTATAATCTTCTCTGTTAATTCTGATGCCAATAAATCCCAAAATGATTTAATTTCGGCAAGGTAAATATGTGTAATTGTTTACAAGAAAAAATTCATTTTTACCTTATTTTTAAAAGTGTCATTTTTTTTCTTGAAAAGGAATAACAGATTTTATTACTTTACTATTTCCTTACCTTAGTATTACTAGAGATAAATCAAAACTGGATAATCAATATCTTATCCTTCATCTGATGTGCATCTTCATTAACATATAACCAAATTGACTCAACACAAAGATTGACTTTATTTCTTAACATCTTTTAGTAAGTCTATGGTTTTTACTGTTTTCTTACACACAAGCAAGAAAAGTAAGATAGCTTTCCTTAATCTGTTCTCTTGTTTTAAGGGTAAAGTGTTTTAGTACTGATAAAGTTAGAAATAGTTTTAATGTAATAATAAATTATAGTAGATCACTGGACTAAGGAGGACTTTGCTATCTGCTTTTCATAGGAAGCAGTGATATTTATGATAATGGCAGAAGCCTGCCCTCATCTGTGAGCTCAGAAGAAAGGGACATTTCTGAGCCCAAATTCTGTCTCCAGGAAACCTCAATGAAATTAATGATTGTGACTAGAATTCTTAATAGGAAAATACTAAAAATGGCAATAATCTCTATAATTTATTGGGCACTAACTGCCTAACAGGCACTCGGGTGAAGCACGGAACTAGCAAATTTTAGAGAGCTTTCTTTTCTTTGATTCTTTTGCTGACTTGTTCAAAACAGAAAAACCTTGAAAGTAGAGTTCTAACTTCAAAAGCGACTCCACTCACAGTTTGCCCAAAGAAAGGGCGAAGGGCTTGCTGTTTCCGTGTTTGTGTGGGTGTTGACTCCCTAGATGCCGGCGTCTTCTCAGATTATCTACACTCCCCACGGGATAGACAGTGGCTGCTGCCTCGCAGTGGTGAGGCAGCGACAGGCAGAAGAGCAGCGTCAGTGTTCCTTCTCCGTTTGCTCCCTCACCCTCCCATTCCTGCTCTGCTGCCTCAGAATCATCTGAATAAGGAGCTGAGGAAAGTATTTGTACCTACTATCCCTCCCAGACACCATTTATTCTTATGCCTGTATTTCTTTACTGAAAACCTTCATGGAAGCCTCCCAGGAACATAAATCATTCTGTGGTATAACCATGTCTTTGTCCTATAGGTCAATAAATTGGTCATTTCTTAGTCCGAACTCAAATCCCGGACTTGTTGGCCGAAAGGCTCTCCAGAACAGTCTCTACACCCGTTTCATACAAACTACAAACTGGCCCAAAGCAGTCATTGATCATCACCGAATGTTCAGTTGCAGTATTGCCAATAAGAGTCTTCCATTGTAAAGTGACATTGGAAAAGGAAATGTCTTGATTTTGTTATTTAAAAATTTAAAAATCCTTCAATAATATAGTGTGATAAATGACAAAAAAATCACCATTAAGCATCCATTTCCCCTACTAACACAATGTACCAGTATTTTTTATGTTACCAAAAGTAAATACAAAATCAATAATAATTTCCAATGATGATAATTAATAATAATTAAATTTCTTAATGATATCATCATTATTTAATCATTATGATATATTATTAGGCTTAATTCGGATTTAATTAAATAGATTAAATAGATTAACATAATTCTAATAATAACTAATAGTAATAGTGAGATGAGTACATATAGCATTGGAGTTAAGCTATAATTTTCTTCAATGTTAGGTCCTGTTTGTGTACTTAAATAGATCTTAGGGTCCCCTCTTAAAAATTTAGTTTTCTTTTGAAGAAAGTTAGTTTATTGAATATTCCAAATTGTTTCTAATATGAGTTATCTTTCCAAATGATAAAAATCTCAATATTAAATCAAATCAAAATGATTCTCCTGTATCTTTTGTCTATGCTATTTTAATTATAGAACATCATGAAAAATTTTCACCTTCAGTATAATTAAATAAATAAATATATTATCAAGGAAGTTTATATTTAATAAGCTATAAATATAATTTATGCTCAGAATTTAGCTTATTAGCACTATTATGAGACTTACAGAGAATACTTATATTGCCTTTAATTATATTGAAAAGCTACACAATAAGATTTCAGCTAATTGATGCTATATTATATACACATACACTACAGCTTCAAGTAGATTTATAATTGCAGTGGGGGGCTTTGATTGAGAATGTTAGTAAAAGCAGACATATCAGATAGAAGAGGTGCCATTTCATGTGCTTTACTTAATTTACCTTTAATTACAGCAGCTGTCCTACCTTATGAAAGTATTTCACAAACTTTGACTTATTGTCAAATGTGACATTGTGACAGATACTTGATTACTGCCCTGTGTAGAATCATAAAAGTGCAAGGGCATGATGGTGCTCACTCACTAGTGCTCCTTGTAGTAATTACTGTACTACTCAATTCTGAACCAGCTTCTCCTTAAGATCCCCCTCCTTGAATGTTCATTTTCCTTCTAGCATTTTTTCAGAGAAGCTCATTGTGGTTCCTCTTTATGTTTTATTATGGGGAACTTCTCTTATTAAATTGTTCAACACTTAGTCCAACCTCTCTGCCAATTTATGTGACAGCTCACAATAAACTAATGGTTGGTGCACTTTGTGTAATGGGGAAGTTTTTTAACCAATGATGTTATAACATTTGCTCAGTAAAGGTTTCATAAATGTTGCTGCAATAATGCCTTTCTTTCTTCCCTTCAACAGTGAAACTTCCCGGTCTCAGGACTTATGTTGACCCACACACATATGAAGATCCAACCCAAGCGGTGCATGAGTTTGCTAAGGAATTGGATGCCACCAACATATCCATTGACAAAGTTGTTGGAGCAGGTAACCACCATATAACCCAATGCTAACCTAGTATATTAATTACAAGTTTACAACTATGAATAGGTTCTCAAGCCTAAGTATATTGCTACAAAAGGAATATTTTCTGATTTCATGATCAAAGACAGGCAATAAATAAATGAAAATATCAAATGGAATGTAATGATTTCAAAGGTGCCAGACTCACAGACCATGGCCAGCTTTTTATTTATTGAATTTCAGAGGCAGCAGCCGCAACAGCTCAGTCTTCCAGTGGTTTGGCTGATCATGTGTCACAAAGCCTATTTGGATAAATAGGGATAACAGGATAAAAGTGTGTTTTACTTTAAACAAGCCCACTAAGTGAAAATTTTGATTCTGTAAAAAAAAGTTATTTTAGAATCCTTTTTGGAATCAAACAAATAGGTAACACAAAATAAAATCATGGATGATGCATTTTACCCAAATTTCATCACAACTCTTTTGAGAGGATGGTTTAATAATGTGAAGTGCTCCATTTTAAAAGTTGCCTGAAACTTTATGTAGTCTTAATACATCTGTGTTGAATCTTGTTTTCATATGGCACATCTCTTTCTTCTAATCATTAATTTACTCAATCATAAATTCATTACCAAACATATATGGAGTGATTATTAATAACAGTGGCATATTTCAAAAAAAATAGATATAAAATAATAGAATTTTATACACTTACACTTAAACATATGGACATTCATAGAGCATGAAGTGTGCATTTGAATAAAACTATTACTCAAAATGCAAGTGAACAATACAATAGTTTTACATCATCTTCTCATTCTTCAATATTGTTCTAAAAACAAACACAAACTAATTATACTGATGTGGGATATAGAATGACAGAAATTCACTCATTGAATTATGCTTATCAAATTACCTTTTTTGCAAGTACTATATTTATAACTGATAGTCCTTTACACAAATGTGCATACAACTTTGTTTCCTTTTATATACACCAAAGCAGTACTTAGAACTCAAGCAGTATTTACTAGTCAAGCAAGACAGTCTGAGTAATTCATAATATCTAAATAAAATGGTAATTTATTTAATCTTCTAATTTTATTAATGTTTTATCCACCTAAGACATGTGCAGGTGGTATTAAAATATGAAACTAGCCATTCATAAAGGAAACTAGAGTAGGTCTACTTTTTTCACAGTCTAAAATGTAAGAATATACACATTCACTGGACATGTAGGTTAATGCAGTTAAAACAAATATTGATTATTCTCTCTTATTTGTATGGTTCTGTGTTGTGAGCCCATCCATGGCACAGGGTTTTTTTTCCTGCTGGCTTTAATGTTGCCCCACAAGAGTGCACTGTTCCCCAGCATGGAAGCCGCAGTAGCACACACAGCAAAAAGACTGCGTGCTCAGTTGGCAAATCTGATGAGGAAAAACCCTCATATGCTTGGCCAAAGTTCCAGAAGGTCAGACACATTGGCACTTTGAAATTTGGGGTCCTCCTCATTAGTAAAAGTTTTGATATACAGACGTTATTGACAAACATGTTATTAACATCCAGATATATAGAACACAGAACACTGATTAAAAATATCTAAATGAAATCACCAGAAGGCCTACTTATTCTGAGTCACTTATAAATTCCAGATATTCATTAAAAATTAGGACAGATCCTCTTTTTTCCTTTCTTTCTTCAAACATTTGTAAAAAGTTAGATATATGCCCCATTTTCAGGATTTTGCAGCCAATATTCCCATTTGCAACAAGAAAAGCAATAAAACTAAACTGTGCCTATTTTATTTGCAGATAAGATATATCTTCAAGGTTGGTTATGCTTCTCCTGGAAGATTTCAATATGATATACACACTCAGTTCTAGTCTGTATTGATTGGCCTTTAAAGGGATTGTCAATACTAAAATAGAATATTAAATCAAGATTTTGAAATCTGTCAGATTTTTTAACATTTTGTTTCATAAAAATTTAAATATCAACAAAAATAGATGAAATTGTATGATCGTAAAGGAACCTGAATGTACACATTTCTACCATAAATAACAGTCCACCCATGGCCTCTTTCATCTCTATACTTATCCACTTCCTACATCCTTTTGAATTTTTAGAAGTAATGTTATTCATAAAAATTAATAATATGCTAAATTGATAGTGACTATCTGCCATTGTTAAAAGCTGAATCTTTCATTCAGTGACTGAACTTTCACTCTCAATTTAATATGCAGAAAAACTATGTGTGGGTTAATTCTCTAATTTTCTGTCATAGATTTTATAGAAAGAAATAAGCATAACAGAAACTCTCATTTATACATTGAACAATCAGAAGAATTACCTCCATTTTGCAAATGACAGAAATTAAATTGAGCCATGAGTTCACTTTCTAAAAGTAAAGTAGTAAATTTTTGTTGGTGAGAAATTCATAATGACTACAATTCCTAGTTTTATTCCTCAATGCAACCATTATTTCAAAGATTAAATTCCAAAGGTAGAAAATATTTACTTAACTCCTATTCTGTGCCTATTCTAGGCACTCATGGTATTTAACTTAATAGCCTTTACTAGGTATTATTATCTCCATTTCACCAGATGAGGACACAAAAGTTGAATATTCAAGTGGTCCATGGAACATAATTAGGTTGCATTAATTAGGAAACTAAAATTTGAATCTTGTACCTTCCAACTTCAAAGTCCATGCTAGACATTAATGATTACAACAGTGGCTTCCTCTAATATTTTTGTGAGGTAATTCATGTATGGTGCTTCGTTCACACACCAGCATCATTCAGTATGTATCTTTACTATGAATCTCTTATTAAAACAGTAGAAGGAAAAATGGGCTTTGAAGCTAGTACAGATGGTCATCCTACTTCAACACAGGTACCTTTCCTCTTTTAAATGAAATTAATGTAAGAAATTTTATTCTGAATAATTTTGCATCATGCACCTAAAGACAGAATATAGTATACACACTCTCATAAAACATACTTTCTTTCAAAGGGCAAAAAGAAACTGCTGCACTTATTGAATTAAAAAAGTCAAGCCCTGTCTTTCCAAATAATCTTCTTATAGCTGTGCTTTACTTAGAAGTAACAGGATCTAAATTTTCTTTCTTATAGGTGCAAAGTCGATTGAATAAGACCATGTGAAACTTGACCAGATGGACAACTGAGCATTGCCTAGTCTTTGTTAATTTTTCCAACATAGTTCTAAGTTTTTAATGAAGAGAATTGAATTACTACTTAATATTTCTATGTCTAGTATAGCATATTGGTGACCATTTCTAGTATGTATCAGATGAAATAATCACATTTCTAAATTTTGGGATATTTAAAAATTAGCGCTACTGAAACACCATTTTCTGAATTTTGAAGGTAGTTATATATGTCCAGATATTCCAAGGAGGACGGCTCTAACTGGCCCACTTGAAATTCAGACCCTTCCTCTTGATCTCCCTGAGGGCCACATTTGTCCAATGTGACATTATTTCTATTACCATCATCATCACTACCACCTCTTCTTACATTAATACAAAATTTGACACTTTAAAAGGCACTTTTATATTCATTCACCAATTTATCTATTAAATAGATGTATGAATAACTGCTTTGGGACCTTAAGTGACTTCAACAAGTTATAGCTTTAGTTCTTGTTTTGAAAACAATGACCAAACCGGATTTCTGAGTAGGGTCAAGTCTGGGGGGAGTGTGAAGCTTCCTGAAGAGATGCAAGTCATCTGTAGGGATGCAGCTGGTGGAACAACAGGACAGCCTGCTGCTTTTGTGGGCCCAACCACTTACTGGATAAGAAATTGAGATGTGTCTCCCTTCTTGCCACCTTCTGCCTGGCTGGCCCATGGGGCATGGAGCGGTATAAAAGACTCACAATGAGAAGACTGAACCAAAAATGTTATTCCATTCCAGAGAGAGCCTAAAATTGATCATGTAATTAATTCTTTTCAGAAAAATCCCTCATTTGATATCAAAACCCATTTTTAAATGTTGTACAGTATGGATATAATATTCCATACAATATTAGGATTTCTTCTATGAATCATAAATATTTTATGGATTGCCTGACTTTGTGACAATCACTATGGTGGCAGTGGAGATAGATAAAGTCTGTAAATGGTCTCTGCTCTCAGGAAGCTCAAAATTCTAATGAAATAGTTACAGGTAAATCTTCTCAATAACAGTGTATATGAAGATAGTGCCGAAACTAATTCTAGGCAATTTTACATCAATTGGGTTAGACTGTTTAAAAGTTACCAATACTCTACATTCAACAAATTCTGGATTAGTTGTACATTTAAGACATTTTTTTATTGAAGACATTGAATCTAAGGAAATATGTCTACAGTGATTCTGTAGATAAGATGTGCTATCTTTTATTTGATACTTTCATGTTGTTCTCTGTCCAGAAGCCCAAAAAGCTTTACAACTATTATGTCAATAATACAAAATACCAATACTCCAATAAAATTAATTGGTAACAGATGCTTCCATTCTCATTTTCAGAGTCCAAATGTACAGATAAAATGGCCCTCTTAGTAAAAATAGTTGAAATCATCTGAGATTTAATGTAATGCTCAGCCTGTAATACCTTTGCTCATCTGTTGGTTACCCTTTGCAAATGGTAGCTACACAAGGACTGAAAAGTCTAGTAGACTTATCTTTCAACTTTCCTCTTGTTCTTTCTTACTGCATTATTCACAGTGTGGTGTTCAAAATATATGCGGTTTCTCACGAGGTCTATTTTCCAATAGGGTGTGGATGTCCTGGGGTCCCTTAGAGAATATCCGATTACCATCTTCCAAAATAATTTGGAAGCCTGCAGTGTACACTTTGTAGGTCAAAGGTGTAAATGTTTTGAATGGAATTTTTGAAAGGACACGGTAGCTCTCTCCTGATGATATTTTTTATTATGTAATTCCTTACCTTTCATTGTTGTTTTGTTCTTCTGCATTCTAACAGGGGAGTTTGGAGAGGTATGCAGTGGTCGCTTAAAACTTCCTTCAAAAAAAGAGATTTCAGTGGCCATCAAGACCCTGAAAGTGGGCTACACAGAAAAACAGAGGAGAGACTTCCTGGGAGAAGCAAGCATTATGGGACAGTTTGATCACCCCAACATCATTCGATTGGAAGGAGTTGTTACTAAAAGTAAGTAAAGTCATAAATCCGGTTTTTGTGTATGCTCAGCAGAGACTGTTTAAACCCCAATGCAATCATTTAAGACTTTTAATCTTTTTTTTTATCATAAGTATCTGACAGTCCTAACAAAAAGACCAGTATAGAATGAATATGTCTTTCTTTGACAAGAGATCAGATATTTAACTGTATTACATTCACAGCACTATTCCAGATCTTAAAAAAAATTTTAAAAATTTAGGAGCTAAAAATTGGGTGCTATTAAGACATGCTGATTAAAAGATAGTTAAGATGTGATCTGTGAAGAACTTTTGTTATGTAGAAGCAAGGGAAAAGAATGACTCAATCTTGACAGGAATTGCTGGGAACTCCCAGCTAGCTGCTGCCTTTTCTTTTATTGTTCATTTAAGTTTCTTTTAAGCTTCCAAATCTTTACCCTCCTGGCTTTAGGAAAATTATGGGAGTTTGGGGAATGCTTCTGAGCTGTAAAGACTGGGATCACATTAGACCAAGACCTTCTCTTGGGTCTCTGTGGATTTCAAATAATTCTGATCTAGAGTCCCAGATGGATTCTTGACTAGTCTGGGGAAATTTTGGCTCACAGCCCATGATAGAGATCTGAACTTGTTTCGATGATAGTTTCTCCAGCCAAGCTCAAAAGGGATCCCATGAGGCAGATACATGATTTTTGGCTCCAATCCCAATGAAAACCTCTTGAGACTGCTCTGGGATTTTTTTTCCCTCAAGATTTTGGAGCACAGGATGAATAAGCTAAATTGGCAGCAAGCCCCTTAGAGTGAAAGACAACATATGGCAGAGAATTTGGCATCCTTTAGGGGATAATTCATTGACATCACATTTACATATTCTATGGTTACCAACAGACATTACACATTATGTTTTTCACAATGATATTTTTCTTTAACATTACATGAGGCACTGTTCAAATGGCACTAATATGTATTCCCTTTTTAGTGTGATTAAAAAGCCAATTCCTTCCTCACAAGAGCATGGTATAATTGAAATATACTTTGATTTCCATTAGAGTTTTCAAATGTAATAAATGAGATTAAGAATTTAACAATGTGGAGCTTAACCATAAACTGTAAGCCTTTATTAAGTCTTGTAAGAAGCACTTTTTCCCTCTGTACTCATATAAATTAGGCCATACTAGTAGTAACACTGAAATATTTTCTGATGAAAAGCATCTACAAATTTTTTTAATTAATAATGAAAATACTTATTAGTAGTAAGGATTGGGAAAATGTATGAACCTTTTGTTCCTTTAGGGCAAGACCATACTACTTAATATCCATAGAAGTTTAGAATCCTGTCTCACTAAGGTTTTAATAGTCAATTAGCCATTTATTCTCTTCCATATCATCACACCACATGGTTGTCCATCAAATATTAGACCCTACTGGGAAAAGAAGCTCATTTGTCCTTTATGTAGCCATTTGTTTTTTAATTAAATTTTCACAAGTTTTTATTTATGAGTTGACTAGTATGTGCCTGGCATTGTGCCATGAATATTATTTCATTCTTACCACTATCCTATGAATTAGATATGAAAATTCTAGTGTACAATTGATCAAACAATAAATGTAAAAAGCAAATAGCTTGTCTAATCAGGTACTAGAGATGGCATTCAGAACATGGTCTATTGGCTTCAACTCTGGACAAAAATGGGTTTCTACTTTTTGTCTTTGTATTCTACTTCCTCTTTTGTATCTTCAATTGTTATATTCTTTAATAATTTGATCATAGCATCCCTCAAGTTTCAGAAGTTTTCTGGAGATAATGAATAACCCTTAACACCTAAAACAGAGAGAGCAAGAACCTATGTTATTTGATAAATCAGTAACTAAAATAGAACCTGGATCATAGCAGGTACTTAATTTATCAATATCAAGGAATAAAAAATGGTTTGATTATTTAAAGGAAAATTTAGTTCTTCTACTGGTAGTCTTCTACCAGTAGGTCTTTCTTCAGTGTTGGTTCATTAAATTGAGCGCATTTTCCAAAAAAGTTCAATTGCATATTAGCTTACATCACTCACGGAGTGAGGGAAAAAATGATTACATTTTAACATGGGCAGAATTATCACCTAACTTCTCCTAAATTCTCCAACTCCTACAACTAAGAAAAAATTAGGTAAATAGTGACTATTGAAGTAAATATTAGGTTTAAATTTAGCTTGTTCATAGGCTTTCATATTTAATCAATTGTGCATTGACTTTTTGTTTTATTGAATACAAAAACCTACTATACTGAACATAACCTAGCTGTGTCCTATAAATTCAGTTATTGAGTGATAAGTAACATTAAAACTTAATTATTGTGGCAGGTTTTCTTTAGGTATAAAAGTGATATAATAAAATATGGATATGGTCACCTGACAAAGACATCCACAAAACAATGCCCAAGACCTAAATGTAGAAAAAACTCACTAAGAAAAAAAATTGACCTTAAAAATTGCAGGTATTAAAAAAAAAATTGCAGGTATTATACATTAAACATCTCATTCAAGCCTGATTCTGTAACATTCTAACATGGATTGCAACTGCCTTATTCTTAAGGTGAAAATTCTAAATTTGATATATCTCCTGGTCAAATAAGCATGTAAGAGGCTGCCAAATATGATTGTATAAATCCCAGTCATCTCATATAGTGCAAACATGATAGAGTGACAGACATAGAATTAGATTCTGAACTCCTTTAGTGGAATATTTAAAATCTCTACATCTAGTACCTTATAATTTCTGAGAGGAAATAGAAATTCCTTAGAATAAAGTTAGTATGTTATATTTAACATGTAAATAAGGTAATTTTGTCATCATAAATTATTCAATCCACTTGAATTATTTCCTCTGTTTCCTGAGACTGTATGACTACTAAAACAATCTACCTGCAAAGTTCAGAAAACACACATACACACACACCTCTGAAGTGATGCAGTTTATAATTTAAAAATAGTACTGTATTTAAAGAAGAAAAGCAGCAAGCATATCAGTATCTAGATTAAGAATCAGAGGATCAGAGTTCAAGTTCTGATCCAACCCTCCTGGTGTGATACCTCTGGCAAATAAAACCACTCAAAGAAACTCACTTTCTTCACTTGTAACATGAAATCAGCAGTTTCTACTTTGCTATTTCCAGACACTTAGACATCAAATAAGATTACATAGTAATTACATTACTAAGTGGAACAGAACTATGAAAATCTAAATTACCACTTCTGGTGTGTTTGAAAAGATGTTATCAGTTAATCTTTGAGTATAGAAGAAAATTCTTGAGAACAATTCCTTTTTTTTGTTCAACAGGAATTCTTTTTATTATTGCTATTAATTATGTGGGTTGAAACACTAGGCCTATTGTAATGTATCATTTTTCAAGTCATTTAGTGAAAGCCCATTATTCAATCATATTTTCATTTATTTGAATTGAGCCATAAACAATTTTAATGGTTCGTTTTGAGTCTGATGGTCTTAAACAAGAGAAGGTGAGACAGTCTCTGATCTTCAAAGTATCAGAAAGCTGGGGGTACAGTCTCTGCTCAGAACTTGGTACTAACATGTGTTATCAATTTTAGTTGAAGTTAAAAAGATGGAACTTGTTTTTAGCAAATGTTTGATATTTCTACCATCACACCATTAGTCAAATGATGTTCAGACTCCGAGAAGACCTCCATTGGCCATTTTTACTGAAGTAGAAGGAATTATATTGGATGAGATTGGTGTGTTTTTTGTTGTTATTTGGGGTGGGGTTATTTTCTGAAAATTAAAATACAATAATTCAACTTAACGATAACCTTGCATTAATCAGGATTGCCAAGAGCAGAACATTAAGACAATTTCCCATAACTAAAACACTTCTATATTGGTATGAGCATCCACTTTATACCAAAATCTTAGCCATTCATTTGCACCTTACTATATTCTACACATATGATAAGGAAACTGCTGGAATAAGACGTCATTCCTTAGTGACAATGCCAAATTCTTGCTGATTCCTGTTTGCTCTTCTATAAAAGTTTCCTTCTGCACTTGTCTCAAGGGTACTACACTCTATGTCATATTAATAGACAATATATGTTATGTTTATTTTATTAATAACTTACAGGAACAGTACATTAGAATAACACATTTTGGAAACTCTGATGACACAAGTTATCATACATTCATGACTAATTTGATAAATGAGTTAAGAACATCTCTACCTAAGTGCCAAGATCAACAAAACTAAGAAAATATTTACTCAGTGTATTGGAGAAAAAAATAAGTCAGGCAATGCTATTTTTCCATGTTTCAAGAAGTTTCCTTATTTTTTCACATTATCCACTTAGGTCTCTTGGTTGAATTGGCCACAGTAGAATTACAAAAGAATGTGTTGTATATTTATCCCAATCATTTAGGTAGGATGGGCTTTGACTATTTTTTAAGATTAAATTCAACTTACAAAATTTGTTAGAATATGACATGCATGCACACAGACACCGCCTTTTAATGAGTACTAGTTTAAATATACAATAACTCTCCCAAAGCAAGAACAAATATAATTATATACTTGTTTAACAACTATCTGAGTAATTCTGGTTCTACACGAACTTTTGTAAAAAGAGAGAAAAAGGAACACCCCTAACTTGAGGCTAGTGATATCATGATGCCACACCATACAAGAATATTATCAGAAAGGAAAATTGTAGGTCAGTGTAATGCATAAATAAAAATACAATAACACTGGAATAATTATGAAGCCATAGCTAGAAGTATATTTTAAAAGGTACTATATCATGCCCAAGTGTAGTTTATTTCAAGAATGCTGTTGGTTTAACTCATTCAAGAAATTCACAATAATTAATAGAAAAATGAATTTCAATAGCACAGAAAATAAACATTTTAACTCAAAAAAATTTTAACACATCATACACAGAAAATGTGTCCAATAAATATATGTAAACACACCCAAAACAAACAAAATAAGCTTGCAAACATCATATTCAATAGTGAAACATTAAAACGTTTCTTTTAAAGTAGAACAAGAAGCCTGCTATGAGCCCTTCAATTCATTATTATACCTCAGGTCTTAGTTTTGGCAATTAGACAAATAAAAGGTAGAAAGTTTAAAAAGGAAAAATATAAGTTGTCCTTGTAAAAATCAAACTGAGCACATTCAGATTAGCATGTTTATTATTGCACTTGTTACATGAATCAGCACTGAATGGAATAAATGGGAGTAAAAAAGTAATTTCTGCCTTTCGCGGTATTAAATTTTCTTTCAAATTAGGCACAGATAAATATAAAACGTTAAAGTCAGCTGTATATAAAGCATTTGATGTATTCAGATCAATGGGGTACTGTAGGTTAAGGAAGAGATGGAGAAAGTGTTTCTTTCTGCTTTTGAAGAGATTATCCTTAGCCAGACTGAAATCATAGACACAATATGATGTAACCAGCACTCTGCTAGGTGCTGGATTTAGAACTACAGGCAAAATGAAGTTGGCCCAGATGTCATTAACTCATAGACAAGGATATAATAGGGGTATTCTTAACATGAATAATGACTTGATTAAAATGACATTTGGAAAAGATTGTCCTGTATTTTTATATGATTTAGTGGGAAACCCACAGAAAAGTACTTTAATTTAGTTTGCTACAATATTTCTATCAGTTAGGTATAGTATATGAAAATCTATAACCAAGGCATTTTCTTTCCAATCAAAGGTGATTCAAGTCTTTCCTGGGGATAGTGAGACATATTTTGTCAATTTTCTTCAATTTTCCTTTTGTTTATGTTGTTTTGTTTCCACCCTGACTCTGATTACATGATACTGAGTGCTGGCTGCTAAGGTCAAAGATTTTGATTTTGTAAACCACACTCATGTATTACAGTGTGTTCAAATCTTTTGAAAATAAGACACAGAGTATGTAAGACACAATGACTGTTGATAAGAGTCAACAGCATTTCTTTTGGAAATGAATTAAATTTCAATAATTTGTAATGTTTTAATCATTGATAAATACTTCTTATGTTTGAATCAAAATATCTTAATGTAAAGCCAACATTTATTTGATAATCAATAAAAATTTTCTATTTCTGGCTTTGTATTCATTATATTAGCCTGCTCTTCTTTTTATAGAAAATGTGATTAAGAAAGTTGTGGTGAAATAAGTAAGTTTAACCTAGAATTCTTAGATGTTTTGAACTGACATGGCTTCTGCCATCAAATGTGGTTCAATGATGAGTAATATCCGAGCCATTGGGAATAGCTGGGGAAATGAACTGATTGTAACAGACTGATCTGCTTCTTTTAACCCTTTAATTATGAAAGATCACGATTTTATCTATACTCATAAATCAATTTAAGAACAAAAGCAGAATTCCACTGCAAGTTTTGTTTTGCTCATTTTTGGTGGAGTTTCATTTTAGCCAGTCATTCCATAATAATTTCATTGAATTTAATAAGTATACTCAGATGTTTTTTAGGATCTCTGAGAGCAGTGAATGATACAGGCTCTTGAAGAAACTGATAATGTAATTTCTAAATCAAAATGCACATGAAAGAGCATGCAAGCTTGGATAGAAGTACACTACATTCTGTACAGATGGGCTGGTAGTTTATAAATAATTTCCAACTACATTTAATACATTAATTACTTAGAACTAATTCTCACTACTATTGTTAAGTCTCTTTTCTTTTAACTCTATCTGTCATAATCAAACTCACAGGGGAAACAAGGTGGAATAGAAACTTTGAAAATGCAACTTAGAAACTAAGGCTTTCTGTGGTAGAATATTTGTGATTCTGTTTACTCTTTGTCTGTACATTTGAGTTTGCTGAATCTTTGAACTTAATGCAAAGCACATTTTCAGACATGCCCATATTAACTGATGTGTTTACAAATACCTAAATTTTAGAGCTGAATGCAGCCTGATCTGATTTCTGAATGGTCATGGGGCTTTGGCTTAATTGACTGGTTTGATTTTTCAGCTACTTTAATTTCCCTAGCCAAACATTCCATTAGACATGCTAACAAGAAATGAAATGGTCATCAGGCTGGGAGCCAAAAGGGAAAGAGTGATAAGCAAAGGTCTGGGTAGTACACAAACACAGTAACTGGCCACTGTAATAGAGAATTGGCCATATGAAGCAAAAATCTGTGACTGCCTTCAAGGTATGCATTGAATTTTGCTAGCATATTCTTCCTAGAATTGTAATAAGTCAAGAACATAGACATAGTGACTTATGGAGAACATGCATATGTAGGATTTCATTCATTCACTCGTCTATTCATTTGATTTCAGGTCGGGCCTCTGGGACCAGTCTTTAGGCATTGGATTTACCAGTTTATGAGAAATAGGAATTTCCAAGAATATATGGAAGCTTCCCTTTCTTCCTGAATATTGTCAAATCAAATCTTAATTAGAATTTTGAAGAAGCAAGTTCTGGAGGCTCAAAGTTTTGCCCAAAATGACTTCAGACATTACCAAATTAACTAGATATGTATGATGTGTCACCAACAATATATAACTAAATCAGAGCCTTAATGGAAGATAGATTGATGCATCAGGTGATTATTATTTATATAAAAATAAATTATCTGAAAAATTGTGTGCACTTAAATAATTTTTCTCACCTCAGAATAAATAAGATACACATCTTAGGATACATTCAAGTAATAAATGTAAGTGTAGCCTTCACAGTATTAAGCCATAATGTGAAACCAGTATGAAATAAAAGTTTTCATCTATGAAAGGAAAAAGCAAGCAAAGAAAACTATTTTCTTACATCAAAATGGCAAACCCAACCTTCAAGACACAGAAAGGACATCTGAGGAAAACTTCAATGGATGTTTGCTAAAATCTGTTATTTGGTGAAGGTCTTCAAACCTCAACTCAGTACTTTAAATGTAGAAAGAAGTGATTTTCCTTCCTTCAGTAATATGCTGGACTTATAATTAAGATAATATTATAGTAACAATAAAGAAAGAAAATTTCAGTGTGGAAATCCGTGCAGGTTTTGAAACCGGAGAAAACCATATTGGGGATCTGCCTGAGTACCAGCTAACTGAGTGACTTCAGAAGCTGTCTTCAGTGCACACTGCTTTCAGTTGAGGAAACAGAAAAATGGGAATAATACATATTAGTTAAGCATAGGGATGGTGTAAAGAAGAAGTGATTAATGAATATATGTCAAGTCTAGTGTAATGATGTGTAATTCTAATTATGAAAAAAATTGATAATGATTCCTGTGTATCAAAAATACCATTTCCCATATCATTTCTGATATTTCTTTCTCTTTTTGGAATATTTGCTTTACATTACTTATTTTCCTAGTTGTTATAATAACATATATAGAGTTATATTTACGGCTTTGTTCACATAATATTATACTCTAACAATTGTGTAAAGTGGTACAGTTCTCAGAATTATCTTTTAATTCAGAATAATCCATAGATTTGATACACAGCAATTGCCTAAGTTGTTAACTATAGTTGAACATTTATTGTTTTTTTGTAGATCTATATATCAGCATACTTACCACCTTTGTGTCTAGTGCTTTTACATTTTTTAAATGTTTCTCTCAGTATAAATTTCCAAAATTAACAGCATGGTATGTTCAGGTTGCAACTTTGGTTTTATAACTTATTAGCTGTGGCATTAAGTTATTTACCCTCTATATATCACAGTTTTCTCATGTTTAAAATGAAAATCATAATAATTAAAATTTGTTATATATAAAAATAATTAAATCAGCATCTTGCACATAATAAGCCCTATGTAAGTATTTTTAAATGCTTATTAAAAGGTTTAATGGCAATTTAGAGCACATGTTTACAAAATGGCTATTATGAGTTATTACCAACAGCAATTTAAATTGTATTTTCCTTTTAAACATAGCATGGATTTTATAATTTTTAATGTGCTAATTAAATACAAATTTTAAAAGGTTGTAACTATTAGTCTTAATTGTTTTGTACAATTCTCATGTAGAATCCCTGAAGTTAGGGACATTTATTTACTTGCTTTTGGCCAACCAGAAAAGAGAACACTTCTAGCACATAGCTACATAAATACTCGTAGATAGTATAAATATTGTGTAATCCCTGGCTCTGTTTGGTGGTAGACTTAAGAAATACTTGATTTTGTAGAACAGCTAAGATGTAATTAAAGGGAGGAAAGGAGTATGTTTTGTATTCATGGAAACCCATGCCAAATGAGCCAATTTAAATATCCTAGATTATCTGCCCTGGTTCTGAAATCCAGTCTTCTTCTATTTTTTTCGTTTCATTTTTTTATTAAAATCTAGTTGTTGTTTTTTTAATTGCAACTTTGCCAAATTGAGAAGACTGGAAAAGCCTTTACATTTTTTAATTCATGAGACACATCAGGCATTCATGTAATATACATGTTCATGGCATGTTGAACACTGTTGATGATTGTTTATTTATTATTTCCCATATATCTAGGTAAACCAGTTATGATTGTCACAGAATACATGGAAAATGGTTCCTTGGACAGTTTCTTACGTGTAAGTAGAAGTTTTTATATGCATACATTAATTTCTTTGTCTATGCACATATATATACATAAACATGGAATAAGTTGCTGAAAATGTTGAGACAATCTCTAATATTTTGCCAAGCAATTAGATAATCAAGGTGTCATGTGGAGCTGAAATTTGCTGGGACTAAAAGGCAAGAGGAAGACTGTAAAACTGCATCTTTACCTGGCAACATCTAAATGTTAATGGTTTATACTTTTTAAAACAAACTTATGCAATCTTCTTCAGCCTTTTTGTATTGTAACGATTCATATTGATTAAAATAAAAATAATAAAGATGCCTAAAGTAAGGCATAATAATAAATTGATTAAGACAGAAATAATCCCTTTTCTTTGTAAAGTAACCTCAGACTGCTAGAAGATAAAAGACCATCTATCTCTGATGTAGTGCTACCATTCCAAGTATTCTCATTTCAGAGATACATCATTTTGTATGACATAAGATATAATATAATCATACTTATATAATATATAATATGATAACTGTTTAAATTTATAAGCCTTATTTTTTAATTACTTAAACAAATATTATGTTCAGAGGAATGCAAACTTCATAGAGTACAAAACACCAGTCACTGCAAAGGATAAAAAAAGACATAGACCCTGTCCTGAAGGTGCTTTCAGCACTATGTGCATACGGATAAATAGAAGACAGAGATAGACTAGGATAGAATCATTCATTGTCCTGGGGATAAATTCTAAATTTTCTATAAATGAGAATTGTATTCTTTAATACTCACAAGCCAAACAAAATTGATTAGCAATTATTTTTTACAGCATATTTCAAAAAACATTTTCCAAATCAGGTAATTAAAACCACCTTAAAAATATTTTTTAAAATATTGTTTTGTAGATACAACTAGATTTGGAACTCTATATTTATCTATGTATCTATATGCATGTATATATGTGTGTATCTATCAATCCATTCCTATCTAGAGTATTAACCATATATTTGTATTTTAATTCAAGTAGGTTAGAAGCTTTTCTAAATCTAGGACTCTTTGACTTTGTCTTCTCTTGCTTTCTATTTGATGACCTTTAACTCTAAATATTCAGTAGATATTTTTGACTAATTTTAAATTATCTATGATGGTTAAAAATTTAACATCCACCTTATTTGAAGCAACTAATAAAATACCTGGAAAGCTAAAAAGAACAAGCATTCAGTCAAACAAATAAAAACCTAAAATAAGCACATGGTCATTTCACTTTATTGTTCTTGAGCTTCACATTTCTGAGCAGGAGTTTGTGTGTTACATACATAACAACTAGGAAAGTTCTGGTTTTGAAACTAAAGTCAAAGATTAGCAGGGTACTTCTTGTTGCCAAGTATTTAGTAATCCAATGACTATGCTGTTTTGTTTTAGCCTTATATCCATCTGTTCACATATTTGGTTAGGCTGGAGTGCTTAAAACTAAAAAGTTTTATAGCCAAATCTGTTACAATTCAGTATGTGAGATTTTAATCATTTCAGAAGTAGCAACCCAATTTAATGTTACATTTGAAATACTTTTCAGAAACATGATGCCCAGTTTACCGTCATCCAGCTAGTCGGGATGCTTCGAGGGATAGCATCTGGCATGAAGTACCTCTCGGATATGGGCTATGTGCACCGAGATCTTGCTGCACGAAACATCCTCGTCAATAGTAACCTGGTGTGTAAGGTTTCCGATTTCGGACTTTCACGAGTTCTAGAGGATGACCCAGAAGCTGCTTACACCACAAGAGTGAGTGACTTGGGGTCCCCCACCCCTCTTATCTTTGTTTTCCAGCTTGTATTATGTAGTCTTGCAAATAAATAGAAATCATACCCCACAATACTTTGTCAGTTTTATCTTCCTCCAAAGGAAACATATCCTTTAACATTAAAATATTATTACTTATTCTGGGAAAACAGATGGTCACTGTTCATGAGGTGGGTGATGATTTTAATTCTGACATTCCATTCATGGGTGTAAAGCTTCCTCCCAAAATGCAGCAAGGTTCTCACATGCCTGAAGACTTGGTATT